GCCACCATGTCCAGTCTGTTTTCTTTCTGTATTTTGAAGCCAATGCATTTTTTGAGCCTCAACCATTTTTGCAGGCCCTTGAAAAATTAACAGGCCTTAGGGACTATACCTTATCATGACTAATGGGTGACGTAGCCTTGGATCTGGCAAAAGAATCTGATCAATGAAAATACATTAAGGAGCAATTTAACCACTTAGCCCTTCTCTCCTGGTCATTTTTACCTGTCCTGGTTCAGGGACCCCAAGAATTCCTGAGGCCTTGATTAGATCTCAGCTCTTAAGAACAGCAGTGTTGTTCAAACCTCATGGACAGTGACACAGAGTCAAAAATGAAGTTTGCTTCAAGATACAGCACATATGTACTGAAATACAAGTTTTCATAAAACACATAGGCTGTAAAAGACTGTCCCACACACTGGCTAGGGCAAGGATGTTTTGGAAATATAAGTCACAAAACTCTTCTTGGAAATCAATTGTATGTCTGATTAAATGCTTGAGCAATTTCTTGATGAATTTTAATGAGATTATGACTTCTTAGAAACCAGTTACCTATGCACCCAGCTAATGTCAACCCTGAAGGAAAGGAACCCAAGGAACTTTAACTGTCGTTTAATAAATCTAATAACCTTTAACTAGAACTTCTTTTCCTGTATCCAGTAAGATAAAGGCACATGGAGAAAGCTGAGAAACTGTCTTTCGAAACTTAAAAAAATATATATATCAAAGATGGGAGCAAGCCAAAAACTTTGAGAACAGGTTTGCAATGCAAATAAGTGAGACTTTGTATTCAGAATATTTGAAGGACTCACGTAAGAAGAAGACATGAAAGAAGAAAAACGAGCAAAGATGTGAACAGAGAAGTCTCAGAAAAGGAAACGCACAGTGGCAATACTCATCTGAAAAGATGCTCTGCCCCACTCGTAGACAGGAAAGAACAGAACTTAGAATTACTAAAACTTTAGAAACTTGGAGGAAGGACCCTGGAGAGCCGCAACTCAGACTTTTGATAAGGGGTGCTGGTTGGCTGGTACCGGTATTCTGAACAGGGATGCAATAAAATTGGTTCTTCAAACATTAGAAAGTTGCAACATGGATTCAGCTGCCACTAAGAGAAGGAACTGCGGCTACCAGGGTGAAGTAGTTGCTGGTATGAGCTCAACATGGAGCCAGGTGGCAAGGCAGAAATCTGGTTTGCAGAGACCTAGCCTTAGCATGAAGCTGAGTATAGAAGGTAGAGGGTTAGAGCCAAGGTACAAAGTCTAACTGCCACAGTCAATTCTATTGTTAACCAGTATTATATTTAAACTTCCATACCAAAAAGAAAAAATGTTCTTTTCTATCTCACACAATGCAATGATTCTTCATAGAAATAAAGATACTATTAGTGTCTCCTTGAGAAAAGAGATACACGAGGTCCCAAAAGTCACCACTCCATAAATGTAGTCACAGTCCTGTCTGATATTCTGTTGTCTAAAAACTAAATTATGAAGTTAATCTTCAACAAAATGTATATAAAATAACGAGGAGAAGACTTTCAGCTGGAGTGAAGAACAAGGAACCAGATTTACCCTCTTGCCTGAACTAAGAAACAGACAGAAGTGGGTCCCACAATTGCCCCAGCTTACTGCCTGGAGAAAACTTCCCAGCTGCAGAGTAGGGAGAAGGAAACCCAGCAGAGTCCTACCATCTCCCTGATTTAAGGAGACAGAAAGAGCAGTACTGGGAGGCCAATACAGCCAGAATTCACAGGGCGGCATGCAGAAATTGAGAGCGTTGTACAGAAAGATAGCTCTAGAGAAACAAAGGTCCCCATCAGGTATTCAGCTGAATACAGGAGAAAAGGGAATCAGGTGTTACTTTGAAGATAGGATTTATCAATGGAAGGCACCTCAGGGTGGCCACAGCAATGACCTCAGCCATCAAGTGTCCCCTCAGAAGATGAGACCACAGCTCATGGAGCTGGAAGTCACAGCTATGCACTCAGCATTTGGCCAGAAGCGAGATCATTGGAAGATCCATGGACGAGCAAAGCCGAGGTGGCAGGGATCCTGTGCTGGGCAGTTGGAGATGGAGCAGGGGCAAGACATGGGGAGAGAAGGCATGAGTGCCAGGCGCTCCGCAATCTGATCCCCTCCCTTGAGTGTTTAACTTCGCCCTTGTTCTCCAAAGGTGTTTTGCTTTCCCCGTCTCACTGCTGCCGCTCCCTGTAGCTACCATTTCCTCCCGGCCCTTTCTTCCCCCTCGCTGCATTAGCACCCTGCAAGCTGCTCTGCCTCCAGCATTCTGCAGAAACTGCCCCGATAGGGCCTCCTCCAGCCTCCACTTCCCCTTTCAGTCCCCGCAGGGTGGACAAGTTTCACACTGCCTGCTTCCTTCATCCCACACTCTTATTTCGAAATCTCATCTTTTAGTCCCACCTTTACACAAAGGACTAAATCTCCAGTTCTCAGCTGCCTGCTGGACAATTTCAAGGTCTTCCCTTTACCTCAACATTGGCCAGACAAAAGCCTACCTGAGCACCCTGTCCTCTTTATCTGTGCTATTTCTGCAGGCACCTGGCCTGGCTTCCCTTTCCTCTCTCCTTGATCTCTCTTTGCACTCGCATCCATCTGTCCTCTCCATCCCTACGGTCACTACCCACATGTGAGCTCCCCTCTTCCTGGGGCCAGTACTGGAATATGTCACCCTAATCCCCGTTTCTAGCATCTCCCCTCTCTAACTCATCCTAAACACGACGGCCCACACCATGTGCCCGCAGCACATTTCAGCACCGCCTTCTCCAGCTCCCCATCTCATTCTCTTTAGCCTGGTTTAGTCTGACCCCCAGTCCAACTGTCCCCTAAGAATCTCCTGACTCCTCTGCCTCAGCTTCTACCCGGTTTGTCAATGGCTTGAACTTTTGCAGCAGAGATGGCGAGGCCACTGGAAACGGCTTTTAAAACCGAGAAAGCAGGAGGACCGACGACCGCTCCGGCGACCGCAGAGTTTCCAGGCGCGAGAGCAGGCGCTCAGGAACATCCCTGAATTTCCGAGGAGATTGAGCAGCGGGAACATTTATTGAGCGTTTACTGTGTGCCACCAGCTGCCCACCCTAGGGAGGGAAGAAGGGAGGAAGGAGCGCGCTTTTCCACCTTCCGTCCTCCGTTCCCTCCCTGCGGAGTTGCGGGGCCACCTGCTCCGTGCGCATTTTCTTTCTCCAAAGCTCGGAGCAAGAGCATGGGGGTGCGGGGAGCAGGGCTCAGCAGGTTCAAGGGGACGTGGGCGGTCGGGGGCGGGGCGGATGTTGGGCAAGGACGCGGGAGATGCTCAGGGTCTAGAACCGACTGCGCCGGATTCTTGTTTAGAGGGAGGTGGAGCGAGGGAGGAGGCGCCGGTGACACGAGGGAGGCAGGAGAGGTCTGGGAGGTGGGAAAGGGGGCGGACCTCATCCGGGCAAGTTTCTTTTAAGTTCCCTGGGACAGGCATCCGGATTTGGGGAACTGGGAGGGAGCTAGACCAGTGATGGGAATTTGGAGTTGGTGGGAGAAAAATAAGTAACAGGACCCGGTGGAACCCCAGGTTGATATGATTTATGATGGGATGTGGGTCGGGATATCGGCAGTGTTCTCCTGTCTTGGCTACCCATCCCTTCCCTCTCACCACCCACCCACCCCAGGCGATAAAGCCCGAAAGGTCGGAGATCCAACAGCGCTAGCGCTTGAAACAGCTTTTTATTTTTTATTTTTTATTTTTATTTTTTTTTTGAGACGGAGTTTCGCTCTTGTTACCCAGGCTGGAGTGCAATGGCGCGATCTCGGCTCACCGCAACCTCCGCCTCCTGGGTTCAGGCAATTCTCCTGCCTCAGCCTCCTGAGTAGCTGGGATTACAGGCACGCACCACCATGCCCAGCTATTTTTTTTGTATTTTTAGTAGAGACGGGGTTTCACCATGTTGACCAAGATGGTCTCGATCTGTCGACCTCGTGATCCACCCGCCTCGGCCTCCCAAAGTGCTGGGATTACAGGCTTGAGCCACCGCGCCCGGCCTGAAACAGCTTTTTAAAATAGAGAAATTAAGAGGACCGACTGCCGCTCCGGTGACCGCTGAGTTTCCAGACAAGGGAGCTCTGTGCAACGAGGGGCGCACAACTGAGGGGAGCATCCCCTCGATTCCAAGGAGATGGCGTAGCCGGGACATTTATTAAGCACTTACTGTGTGCCACCTGCGTGTTTTCTATCCAAAACACGCAGGGAGAAGGAATCAAAGCCTGGTACAGCAGGCAGGCGAGGTGGGAAAAGGAGTTATGCACGCGTGTATCACGGACTTTGGGGCAAGTCTGGATGGCTGGGAAGCCGACCTCCATCTAAAGGGAAGCCCGCGCGCGCGCACACACACACACACACACACACGCGCGCGCCTCACAAGTTGGATTGCTGGAGAGGGCGAAGTAGGCAGAGACCCAATCTGCCGTGGCGCTTGAAGAAGGTATATTTAGGCTACTGAAATCATTCCACCAACTTTGCACACTTGTCTTCTTGTCTTCCTTGTGCCACACTCTGGGACTACTCATTTCCCCCCCAACTTCTTTTTTTTTTTTTTTTTTAGATGGAATCTCGGTTCTTCGCCCAGGCTGGAGTGCAGTGGCGCGATCTTGGCTCACTGCAACCTCCATCTCCCGAGTTCAAGCAATTCTCGTGCCTCAACCGCCCGAGTAGCTGGGATTACAGGCGCGCACCACTAGGTCCGGCTAATTTTTGTATTTTAGTAGAGATGGGGTTTCACTATCTTGGCCAAGCTGGTCTTCTGGCCTCGTGATCTACCCGCCTCGGGCTCCCAAAGTGCTGGGATTACAGGCATGAGCCACCGCGCCCAGCCAGGACTCACTCCATTTGAGGGCAAAACTCTTGCCTCCCTGGGCTCTTGCCCCTCTGGCGCTCCCACAGCCGGGCACCGAACCCTTGTCATTAGGGTGCCAGGAATGGGCGGAGCCACCGCCCCATATCCCACAATGCCCCGGGACCGGAAGATGGCGCCGTGGTTTCCGGAACTTCTTCCGCCCCGCTGGGCTTTTGCTTTCTTGGGCTGGTGTTGATTCAGTGTCTGCTTGGCGTGGCCACTGCTGTCGCTATGGAGACAGGTGAGTAGCCCTCTGAGCCTGGAGTCGTTGCAGATAGACCTCTCCTCGGCCCAGACCGCTTCTCCCGCTTCCCTGGCCTCACTCTCTGCAAGGTTAGTATGTGGACAGGGAGGAGAGAAGGCTCTTGTAGCTTCTAGAAAGGCTAAGGTACTCTGCAGTTTTCCTAATTTGGTTTGTTTGCACATCTTTGCTATTCAAACACGACCCCACCAGCTCCCCAGCGTGGGCGACACTAAGGGAGAGGAGTTGTGTCTTAAAGCGTGTCCATGATTGGCTTTCTGCTTCTCACATGAGCTTGCATAAGTTTGAAATATTGTCGCCAGACTTCTGTATCATTCTGCTGCTTGTGCTTCTTATATATGCATACGTTCTGTGATCTTTTAGGCTCTCTGCAGTCTCTTTTTAAGCTTGCATCCTAAGTTTTTCTTAACAGATTCAGCACGTAGCTTTTGCGAAACTTAATCACTGTTAACAATTGTTAGAACGTATTATTAAAATAGGGGAAGCCACAATTACTGCAGCCTACCTTAGTGATCACTGTTCAAATTCCTGCAAAGTGGCCCACGAGTGGTAGGAATTTGGCTCCGTTTGTGTTGCTGTTTTCTTTGATGACTTCTCTTTAACTTTAGAGGTAACCCTCTTCCATGACTGTTTCTTAGGTCTCACTACAATCCTGATATGCAGAAGTAGGGTGCTGCCCCAGTGGACCATGCTTTTCAAACTGCTAAAACTGTCAGTGTTTGTCAGCCTTGGCACTATTGACATTTTGGGACCAGTGATTCTTCGTTGTTGGCAGAGGGTGGGGGTGTTGACCTGTGCACTGTAGGATGTGAGGTGGCATCCCTGGCCTCTACCCACCAGGTAGTAGTAGCACCTTCTGTGCATCGCCCCCCAACTTTTCCACCAAACTAAAATGTCTCTAGACATTGCCATATATCATCTGGGAGACAAAAGTCACACTTCGTTGAGAACCACTGTCTCACGTTCTGCACACAAAAGCCAGAAGGATATTTTTTAAATGTAAATGGCATTATGTCATTCCCCTGTTGGAAACCCTCCAGTGTTTTTCTGTTGACCTTAGAATAAATCTCAAACTCCTTACTGTGGCTTAGAAGACTTTCTGTGGACTGGCCCCTGCTTGCTTTTAATCTCCTGTCTTCCATTCTGCTTCCATGTATATATAATTGCCCCTCTCTCACTCCAGCCACACTGGCCTTTTTTCTGTTCCTTGAACATTCAAAACTTGTTCCATCCACCTTTTGTATTTGCTGTTCCTTCTGCCTAGAATGCACCCTTTCCAGATCACTGTTCGCTCACACATATCTCAGATTAAATGTCACCTAATCAGTAAGGCATTCCCTGACCATTTTATCAAAAGAAACCTCTTACTTCCATTCTCTATCACATTACCCGTATATTTCCTTTATAGTGCTAATCACAGTAGAAAATTGTCTCCTTTCATCATTGCTTGTCTACCTTTTCACCAGAGTGTAAGCTCCATTAGAGTTGGGTCTTTGCCTTTTTTACTGCTATAGTCCAGGTTCCCGGAATACAGACAGTTCCCAATGGTACAAAAGCGACATTCAGTAGAAATACTACTTTAAGTACTCATACAACCATTGCTTCTCACTTTTAGTACAGTACGCAATAAATTACATGAGATATTCAACAGTTTATTATAAAATAAGCTTTCTGTTAGATGATTTTGCTCAACTTTAGGCTAATGTGTCCTAAATGTGTATAAGGTATGCTAGGCTAAGCTAGGATGGTTAGTAGGTTGTAGATAGTAAGTGTATTTTCAAATTGCCATATTTTCAACTTACAATGGGTTTATTGGGAGGTAACCCCATCGTAAGGGGAGGAGCATCTGTAGTGCCTGGCACAGAGCAGGTTCTCAATAAATATGACTCTTGTCCATCTTCTTCGAACCTCAGGTCAGGTTTCAATGACCTCCTTTCGCTTTCTCTTCTAAGATTATTTTTGCTTGCTGGTGGGTTTGCTGTAATTTTTTTTTTTTTTTTTGGAGACGGAGTTTCGCTCTTGTTACCCAGGCTGGAGTGCAATGGCGCGATCTCGGCTCACCACAACCTCCGCCTCCTGGGTTCAAGCGATTCTCCTGCCTCAGCCTCCTGAGTAGCTGGGATTACAGGCACACACCACCATGCCCAGCTAATTTTTTGTATTTTTAGTAGAGACGGGGTTTCACGTTGTTGACCAGGATGGTCTCGGTCTCTCGACCTCGTGATCCACCCGCCTCGGCCTCCCAAAGTGCTGGGATTACAGGATTGAGCCACCGCGCCCGGCTTGCTGTAATTTTTAACTACATCTAACCTACCTTTAAAAAGTGTATGGATAGGTGTGCCCGGTACAAAGACTTAACATAAAGAAAACCATTTACTTTGAAACATAAACAGACGCCAATTGATAATTTATGAGTCTGTTTGTTGCCTCTCAAGCTTTTAGCAGGCATGGAATCATTCCACAGGTCATTATTTCAGTTTGGTCTCTGTTCCTAAGGGGTGAAGGTCATCTGAGGGCTTTGGATCCCAAACTCACCTCGCTCAGAGGCTCAAACAGCCTCTTTGTCCATCAACCCGATTTATGCAGCATCCTGGGCCTCAAAGCCTTTTGTGCTGGCTTCAAGTGAAAATAATTCACTGAGTCAAAAGTAGGCTGGTCCAAGATGCTGCAGGAGGACAGTCAATAAACCTTGGCCGTTTATTGGAACCGTGGCTTGGCTGTTTCTTACATTGATTTATGGGCTGTTTCCATTAAACCAAAAAGCATTGGTCCACCTGGCAGCTGGAGGCCTTTCTGTCCTAGCTGAAGGCCCTGGCTCCTTGGTGGCCTTTGGGAAGCAGCATCTCATCAGGCCATTTTTTCCCTCTGGCGGGGAGCAGCCGGCCTGGCCCGTGGGACCGGGCTCTCTACACAATGCAGAGACGTCTTCATCTGCAGAGACGAGGCCCTGACGGGGTGGGAGGCCGTTTCCATGCGCTGCAAGGAGGCTTCCACGTGCAGAGAGGACGCCTCGAGGACGCGAGGGAGCCGCTTTCCTGACGGTGAGAGGGAAGGCCCCTGGCTGCAGCGCTGGGAGGTCTCCACGCGGTGGGACGAGGTCTCCACGCGGACCGTGGATGTCTCTGTGTAGCAGGCGGTCCCCACCCCGGGCGAAGACTGCTTGTCCCCTCGAGTTGAGGCCATTCTGCCAGGCGTGAGGGGGCCAGGGAGGCCTCTGGGCACCCCACACACCAATGGTCACCGCAGGCAAAAGAGAGGAAAACCACTGTGCTGCCACAGGCGGGAGCGCCACGACACGATGACATGGAAGCACCATGGTCCTTCGAAGGCTACACTGGGCTTCTGCCCCTGGGTCGCTCCCAAGGCCGGGTCCCCACCCCCTGCCGGTCGGGAGCCAGCGGGGTTGGAGCTGGCCGGGGACGGGCGGAGCCTCCCCGCCCCATATCCCACAATGCCCCGAGACCGGAAGAGGGAGCCGTGGTTTCCGGAACTTCGCTAGCCGCTCCGGGCTTCTGCCCTGTTGGGCTGGTAGCGAGTTGGTGTCTCCGTTTGTTATGGTTGCCGCTGTCGCTATGGAGACAGGTGAGTGGCTCTCTGAGCCTGGAGTCTTCCCAGATGGAACTCTCCTAGGCCCACACCGCTTCCCCGAGGCCGCCTTTCAGGCCTCACTCGGCAGGGTTCGTATTTGGACGGGGAGGAGAGAAGGCTTTTGGTGGCGTCTAGAAAGACCAAGGTACTTTTCGCAGTTCTCCTAATTTGGTTTATTCCACATCTTTGCTCTTCAGAAACCACCAGCTCCCCAGCGTGGGCGAGATTCAGAGAGGACTTGGGTGTTAAACCATGTCCTTCTCAGTTGGTTTTCTGCTTCTCACGAGCTTGCATGTTTGAAATACCGTCGCTAGACTTGTGTGTCATTCTGCTGCTGGTGCTTCTCCTATATGCATACACTCCACGACCTTTTAGGTTCTCTACAGTCTCTTTTTCGGCTTGCATCCTAAGTTTTTCTTAACGGATTCAGCACGTAGCTTTTGCGAAACTTAATCACTGTTAACAGTTGTTACAACGCATTATTAAAATAGGGGAAGTCACAGTTATTACAGCCTAAGTGATCACTTAAAATTCCTGCAGAGTGGCCCACGAGTGGTAGGAATTCTGCTCCGTTTGTGTGGCTGTTTTCTTTGATGATTTCTCTTTAACTTTCGAGAAATTTCTAACTTTAATTATCAAGGCTCCGCTTAGATTTCGAAGAAAGGTTTTTATCTCCACCCACTCCCAGTTTAGGAAGATCATCTCAATATTAGTCAGGTTTCTTTATTCTTTCCTTACCACAAATCAGTATTATATACAGTGACCTTTATTTCTGGTGATTTTTGCTCTCTTGTCTCCTAGATGATTCTGGAAATCGACTTCGGTTTCAGTTGGAGTTGGAATTTGTGCAATGTTTAGCCAACCCAAATTACCTTAATTGTAAGTTTGTAAGCACCTCATTCAATTGAGTAGCTATTAATTTCTGACAGAAGAGTTGCAATTCAAAATAGTATCTACTTGTACACATTCTCACTGGAATGAAATTACACTTAATGCTGGTGTATAGATGTAATTGTGCACACTGGGACTTGTGTTTTGAATCCGATGTGTGTTGGTGGTGGGGGTATTATGTAAACAGATCCTTTATATTAGGGGCAACAAATCATAGTTTAAGAACTGGTTTGAACTACAGATTTTCTTTTTTTTTAAATGCTTTTCAGTTCTTGCCCAGAGAGGTTACTTCAAAGACAAAGCTTTTGTTAATTATCTTAAATTGCTTTACTGGAAAGACCCAGAATATGCTAAGTATCTAAAGTAAGTTTAATTTTTATAATCCTAAGCATGTGTATACTTTATTATATAATAGATTTCTTAGTTTCACATTGGCAAAAATATATTTTGAATCTCTCCACTTCTTTTAGTTGTTGCCACTTTAATACAAGACACCCTCATCTCTAACTCGTATCACTGCAGTAATCTAGTCACTGGTTTATCTCTGCTTCCTGCTCCCCTGCCCCTACCCGCAAACCAAACAAAGCAAAACAGCTTTCTACACAGAAGCCAACTTAATTACTTAAAAATATAAATCAGAACACTTTACTTTTTTGCCTAGAACCTTTCACTGGCTTTCCATTCCATGCGGAATAAAATCCAGTCTCTCTTTTTTGGGCTAAACCCCTCTATGATCTGGCTCTGCTTTGTCTGACCCTGTCTTTTACCAGCCTCCCCATCTCACCAGGTTTCTGATCCCGAAGATCTCACAATCCGTAAATGTAGTCACATAGCCATGGGCTAAAATTAAAGAACACAAAAAGGGTGCCTGTAAGGAAGGTGTTTGGGGTTGTTTGGAGGAGTCTTACCTGAGTCTTAGAGCTCCTGTCTTTTCTTTAAGGCCTCTTATGTGCCAAGAACAGTGCTAAATGCTTCACATCCATTTATTCATTTATGTGTATATATATGTTTACCATTCAGGTTGTTCAGCAGACACTTTCCTGTTAAAGCTAAGTTGCAAGAAGCAGTTTATAACCAGAAAGCAATTCCCTTTTAATGGTAAAAAACAACTACCCTTGAACTCACACCCCTGCTTTGTCTTAAGCAGGTAGTCAGAAAGCAATAGTGAACCTTTTTTTAAAAACAAAAAAAACAAAAGATTGAGAGGAAAATGTTTCAAACTCGTCTCAAAGTCACTTTTCTACGTGCAGTAACAGATGACTCAGGAAGCATATACATCTTGTGTTGCCTGCAGGACCATTTGTATCTTTTCTGGCTTTTTATCAGTTTAATAATCCAAAGAAAAGACTTTAAAAAAAGTATATGTCAACAAATGTTGTATGTATGTAGATTTACAGACTCAGTGTTGGAAGCCTTAGCCACCAGTAAGTTTAATTTTACCCACAATCTTGCTGAGAGATGGTCATCTACACTCTGTTTGGAAGTTTCCATTGATCCTATGTTACTCTGTCAAGGACAGCTGAGTCGATTATTAGCCAGAAGTTATAAAGTTCTTCCTTATATTGTGATATAATATACCTCCTTGTAGCTTCAATCTGTTTGTCCCTGGATTAAGCTAGAACCATTCTATACCCTCTGGAGGACAACAGCCTTTTAGATATTTACATTCAAGAGAGATTGCAAATTAGCCCATTTTGGGCATTTTATTTAGTCTGCCCAAGATTTTAGTTTTTTTTTGTTTTTTTTTTTTAAGTGCTTGCCAGCATTTAAAAATCAAAAAGTTTTATTTAATAAATGCAGATTTCCAGCTACTCTTTAAAAGCTGGAAGATCTAGCAGCCATAGATATTAATTCTTCAAGTCAACAACTGGCTGAAGCTGAGAGCAGCTGTCAGCACTAAGTGCTTTCCACCTGGTGGAAGAGACCTTCTACCACTTGGCCTGCTTCATTGCTAACCAGTAGCTGCCACTGTAACGTCTCTCTTGTGTCTGTTTTTCTCAACTCCCTTCAGCCATTGTGCCATGGTGCCTGGACTTCTCATGAGTTCAGGTTCCCTCCTTTGGATATTTGGCAGTTGTACCTTATGCAGTTCAGCCAAGAACTAAATACAGGCCTTCAGATGTGGTCTGAGTACAGTGGGCCAGAGGTCCTTTCTTTTCTTTATGTGGACATATACCTCTATTAATTAAACTTATGTTTATATTACTTTCGGGGTGGGGGTGGGGAGAGGATCACATTGTTGACTTGCTGGGAGCATTAATGTCAACTAAAATATCCTTCGGTTCTTATTTTCATCAATGCTGTTGAGTTCTCCCTATCTTGTTTATTTTCTAAAACACCAAATGCAGAACTTTCCTTTACTACTTCTGTTTCATCTTGTTGACTTGTAGCCTATCCAGAGTATGATTCTTTATTGTCATCTAATATATTCCGATATAATCGCTCCCTGTCTAAATTCTAGTTATTGACCAAATGCTCCTTGAGACTTCTCTTGGTTGTCACATTATTTTACAGTTGAAGAAACTGAACTTTAGAGAGGTTAAGTACCTTGTTAAAGGCTACCCGGCTGGAACTTACATCCTGGTCATTTTAACTACTCATGCTGCCATGAAAGGGAATTAGCCAGGGCAGGTGTGAATAGAACATTCTAGCATAAGCAGCCAGCAATCAGAGCAACTGTGTATTCTTAGTGTGTAGACAGCAAACCTTTACTCCTGTGGAAGTTACTCTCTTAGAAGCATGGTGCTAAGCCCTCTATTCAGTGTGATGTTCAGGTCAGCAGCATTGGTTCCATTTGGGAGCTTTTTAGAAATGCAGAGCTCAGGCCCCACTGCAGACCTAAGGAATTAGTCTGCATTTTAAGAAGTGATTCATACATACATTAAAGTTTTAGAAGCGCTGCTCTGGTATCCTATTTTCCAAACTTTAGTCATTTGCATATCACTTCTACAACTTTGGCTTTATCTGCATACTTCCTGTATTTCCATGTATTTTGTCTCATTTAAATGCTTTTGTGTTTTTTCAACTCGAAATACACTTACAGAATACCTGAAAAAACAGTAAAGAGAATTCCTATATTTTCTTCACTCAGATATTCCAAATGTTTAACAATACAATCAGCAAAAATCAAAACATTAATATTATTACCTAATCTACAGAGGGCAGATTTTGCCAGTTGTCCTGCTGGTGTGCTGTATGCAGTACAGGATCCAGTCTAGGCCTGCATATTGCATTTATTGTCATGTTTTCTTAGTCTCCTTTAATCTCAGTGGTCTTTTCTTTGCCATGACTATAACAGAAATTATTTTGTATCTGTCATGTATCTATAGTCACATGAAGTCTATTTGTCCCACTGCTGGTGATATTAATTTTGATAACTTGGTTGAGGGTGGTACCTTCTAGGTTTCTCTGTATCAAGTTACTATTTTTCCTTGTATATTTAATAAGTATCTTATGGGGAAATCCCTTGAGACTATGTAAGTATCATATTACATACACTTTTGTCCATTAATTTTAGCATCTTTTGACAATACTTGCTTTCGAAGAAATAATTTTCACTGTGATGATTTTCTGATTCTATCATTCTCCATTTATTAGTTTGGAATTCGATTGTAGGGAAGTACTTTCCCTCGTTTTCTATTTATTATTAAAGTTACATCCATTTAGTGTGGACTTTTGGATTCTTACTTTTATTCTGTGAATTTTAATTACGTATTTTCTTGCTCTGAGTAGTCCACATTTGGCCATTAGGAGTCCCTTCAAGTTGGCTCCTGAATACTTTTGATCCTCCCAAGAATTTTTGGCACTTTTTCTTCTGGCACTACGTAATGTTCCAGGCTTATCTTGTCCTTTCCCTGTCTTATCCCTGAATCGGCCTTTTCTCCAAGGAAACGTGCTCCTTGGAAACTGGGCACTGTGTGTTTATTAGTACCACAGTGTCACTGCTTCTAGGCCCTCTTAGTACACAAAGCTCAAGAACTCTATATATGTATGTATGTGTGTGTACACATGCACACACGTATGTATCTGTCTAGGTCTCTATATATTAAAAGCCATAAGTACATACTGTTTTCAATACCAGCTCAGTAACACAGGGTTCATTCTAGCCTTGTTCCTTTCCTTGTCTATAACTCCTTTTCTGATAGCCAAAATTTGGCTCTCCGTATCCACAGTATATTTACTTGTCCAGTCCTAGAGTCTACCTAATTTCAGAATTGGTATATCCCTGTGGACAAGAGTACAATGTATATGCATAGTCCTCTTTCAAACTGAAAGTTGTCTTTTTATCACTGTTGAAGGAAAAACCAGTAACTATCAATTAAACACATAATTACTAAAATATGTTCATATTCTTCACCTTGGAAACCACTAGAAGGGAATAGCAAGGTTTGTCCCTAAATCTTCACTCTGCTTACCAGTTACTGTGTTCTGTAGTCTTGAGCAAGTTAATTTTTTCTGAACTTAAACCTCCTCACTTGAAAATTTTGCTGAACACTGACTTTTGATGACTATGCAGGGGAAAACCCTATGCTGCTAGAGTGTACTAAGTTAATGTTATAGAAATGGTAGGCTACAAGATCATTTTTAAGAGAATAACTGAATTAGACCTTGGCATTATTTACTTAAATTATGTTGTTCATTCACTTATAAACTTAAACCCAGGTACCCTCAGTGTTTACACATGTTAGAGCTGCTCCAATATGAACACTTCCGAAAGGAGCTGGTGAATGCCCAGTGTGCGAAATTTATTGACGAACAGCAGATTCTGCACTGGCAGCACTATTCCCGGAAGCGGATGCGCCTTCAGCAAGCTTTGGCAGAGCAGCAACAGCAAAATAACACATCGGGAAAATGAAACACTGGATACAGACGAGGCTCCGAAGACATAGTACAGTGAAGACAAAAAAAAAAAATGACAACTCTTCCTATCAAGTTTTATTATGGTAGCCCCTAGAACCTTTAGTGTGCTTTTTAATCCAACTAACTTTTTATTGTCAATAGACCATAACTGCTAAACCGGAAGTGTTCTACTTTGATTTCGATATGGATTTTAAGGTGTTTCTTTTTTAAGCATTTAGCATAATCACCTGATTAAGAATGGAAAAGTTATGTGCTTTAGGCCAAATTAAGAAGGCAATGGGGCATGGGACAGGGGTGGGCCACCAAGTATACTGAATTCTAAGGCTAGCTTTTCCTGATATAGTAGGGCAAGGCTTCTCCTGGAACCTTACTGTGTCTCAGATCAACTACTCTACCACTCTTACCTATGTAGTGAGAGTAGCGGAGTCAGCGACTTTACATCACCAGACAGGAGCTGCATAAAGGTTCTTAAATTCTGCAGGAAAGGAAATACCTCTATTACCTGCTTTGCAAGGTGGCTTTAAGAATCACTGTGACCTCACTTGATGTAGTTATGGCAGGACAACTAGGGGTTAATTATTAATTGGTCTCTTGACTTTAGAACAAAGATGAGGAGCCTCAGTACTGGTGCTCACTTGGGAAAGCGAACACTGCTTTGGGAGGTACCACAAACCAGGTGCTAAGTTAAGTTCTTCCTTGAATTCTCAGAACCTTGTGTATAGAAGACAAAACTGAGGTTTGGACAGGGTGAGTAACTTAAGTTACCTGCGGTTACACAGCTAGTAAGTGGTAGCATCAGTGTAACTGACTCCCAGGTTGGAGTTCTTCCCACCACTAGGTTATATAGTCTCTCTAGCCCCTCTTCGCCACCTGCCTCATCCCAAGTAAGGCACGTTGAGATGGCTGTAAAACAAACTGCCTCTAGTGCTCAGCAGTCTTGTTTTTTAATAAAGGAAACAAAACTGCCTGAATTAAGCAGAGGCTGGATTATAGGTACTGTGCTTTCCTTCAGTGGTGAGGTTAGGCTCTACATTCCAAAATCAAAGAAGGGGTTTCAGGAGTATCAGTTGCTTTGCAGATGCATAGAATTTAAAAGATCCTGATCTTTTTAGAGATTTGGAAGGTGTCCTCTGTACCTTTAGGAGCTTTTAGGCATTTCTGTCACTTTCAATAATACATATTTGAGCCTTTACTGCTACTTCTGAAGATATATTACAAGCAAACTAAAGGTTCATGGGCATTTTAATAGCACTCTGTTTAGACACATGCCAGTTTTTTAACATCATTTATTGCTAACATTGAATTCAAAGCAAGTATACAGTTTTTTGATACTAAAATCAGGAAATCAAGACATGACTGCCATCATAAAATCTTAATCTTCAGAGAACAATATTTCCACAAGGTTGGCCTGAAGACACTCATTCTACCAGTTTTTGAGGCTGTAAGAGAAGGGCAGTCTAATCTTAACTACTCCTATAAAACATTACTAGGAGTGGAATAAGTTCTGCCTTGAATGACACTAATCTTTGAAGACAAATTACTCAATTGAGAAACTATCAACCAGTTATAACAAGTTTTATGACTCAAGATATTTGCTGTAAGATGAATCACTACCATACTTGGCTCAATGGACTTAAACCCCAAATGCCAGGAAGCTCCACAGACTAAAACAGGAGACAGTAAGCCCAGTACCCTCTTCTTCCCCTCAGCTCTGTAATTTAGGATCCCAGGGGCATGATTGAAGTAGAGGAGGTACCCTTTTTAACCAGACTTATGAATTCCATGGAAAACAACTGTTGATGCAGGTATTTTAAGGAATTATGAGTCAGCCTACTTTCTGATTATAGAATTTGTTAACAGTGACTTACCATGAAAAATACCCAATAGCTAGATATTTACATTATCAGTTTATTGGGATTGGCCAGAGGAATGGACTCTCAGCAGCACTCTGAACCGCAGTGGAATTGAGATGCAGGTCAAGATCTTATCAGAGTTGGATCCAGAGCAAGTTAAAAGAGTTTTGATAGTGAATTACAGGCCCAGCATAGAAAGATACCTACTGTTCCATACTTAAGTAGTGTAGGCACTGCTGTTACTTTCAAGTTTTTTCTGAAGTCATTATTTGGATCTTTCCAACTATTCCGAAAGAAAAAGTCATCATGAAAAAAATTTATTTGGTTTACAGTTTGCTTAATATTTGACATATCCCTACATTTTTTTTAGTAATCATTGTTCTTGCAAACACTTAAAAAAAACTTGAGGACTATGGTTTAATCTGTTAATTACCCTGTGCAAAGTTTTAAAGCGTGACTAAGATGTAAAAGTAAAGCCAGCTAAATTCTGGGTTTACACCAGACCAAATTCGTTGAATTACCCTTAATTCAGGTGGGCATTTTAAATCTGTATTTCATAGCTTCTAATTGTTTAAATTCTCAGACATTAACTTATAACAGAGAAACTGGGTGAGTCCCTGAGGCCCTTCCCGCCTAAGTTTACAATTTGCGCACGTCTGTGAAGGTAGAGTATACATTGCCACTTACTAAGGCTTGTCTGTTACTTGGCAGTAGATGAACACACATCCTTCACTAACGTGCTTCAGCCCCTCTCGTACGACTGGTTCAGCTTAAAAAAAAAAAAAAGTTGAGATAAACACCTCAACTCTACAATCAAGCACTGATAAACAGTGTTCCTCTCCCCTTCCCCCAGTCTTGGTAAATACTCAGACTTTAACCTGCAGGTAACTAAAGAGGTCAACAGAAGTCAAGCGTCCACTTCTGGTCTTAGAGCCACATTAGGGGTAAGGACCAAATCCCAGTCCCAATTTGCCCCCGCACCACCGCGCCCATAGCAATGGAAAGCAGATGCATTTGCTGACCAACACATGCATCCTGTAAGACACACAGTACTGGCTAAGTGAGAAGTTTTAAGGAACTAGATTCCACAATCATCCTGGTAAAATTGTAAAAAGAAAAGCGCTCTTGGCAGGGCGAGGTAGGATTTCATAGGAGGAGACGGGGACAGATCAGATTGTCCCGCGGATGTTTGGAATCAAGACACTCTGCCTCCACTAAGCCCCCTTTCTGGCCGTAGCCTCGAGTTTCCTGCCGTTTCTGCGGGACAGGAGCCCCCGAATCCCGGCCTCACCCTGTACGCAGTTGGGGCCACCAGCTTTTCCCTCTAGCGTCCTTAGAACCCGTAAAGTAGGTGAAAATGGTCTTGCCATGGTGCTGTTCCACGGCCGGTTGAACTCCTCAGAGCCAGACGCGCTCACCACCTGCGGGCCATCGGCGTGACGTGGGACTGCTGCAAGAGGAGTGCAGGTCCGGTTGCCGAGGGCAGGGCGCACGTGGGCGGGGCGGGGCTGCTTCCGGGCAGGCAGGACGGGAGCTGGGCGGGGCGAGGCTGCTTCCGGGCAGGCAGGACGGGAGCTGGAGCCGCCGCAGGTACGGGAGCCTCTGAGGGCCACGATGCACCCGCATGGCTTTCCGCTCTGGTTTCTCAGATCTTTCTGGGGTAGCTGCACTGCCAAGCCCAGGCCTCTGCTCCAATCTAGCCCCAGCCCCGGCCCCATGGACACTGGCTGCAAAACTTAGCCGCCTTGCAACACCTGAATCCTTAAGCAGTTCAGGAGCTTCAGCAGCTCCCACGCCGCCCTGCGCCTCTTGCTGTGGTGACTGGGATGGCGGCCGGAAGGGCAGCCCAGTTGGGGCCCCCCTTGCCCACCTCCCAGTAGCTGCAGCCTCGCCCCAGGCCAGGTGGGCTCAGGCCGGGGCCGGGGGGCATTCTGGGAAGCTAGATATTAGTAGCAATGTTAAAAAAGGAGTACACACCCTCCGCGATGTGAAGAGTAATACCCTCTTTCCTTCCAGATGCTAGGAACAACATCATGGGGGGTCGTGTACAGCACGTGCGACGTTGGGATCAGTATCATCTTCTTTTCCCCTGGATATTAGGAAGGATATATCGTTCTGTGAGAACAGATTAGGAACGATATACGCCTTCTGCCCAATCAGGAGTAATGTCATTTTCTCCCACCCCTGAATATTGACAGTAATATCATCATCTCCCCCTGGGTATTAGAAACAATATCACGGGAGGGGGTGTACACCTTTTGTGATACTGGGAGTCGTATCATCCTATCACCCCCTGGAGGTTAAAAACAAACTACGGGGAGGTGTACACCCGCTGCGATATTAGGAGTATTATCATTCTCTCTCCCACTGGATATTAGGAACAGTATCACCCCACCCCCCGAATATCAGACACAGTATCAGAGGGAGGGTGTACATCCCCGGCGTTGTTGGGAGTAATATCATTTTCTCACCCCCACCTCTGTTTATTGGAAACAATACACACTTGGGGTGTACACCGTCGGCAATATTGGGAGTAATATTTTCTCCCTGGATATTAGGAACGGTATCACAGGGGAGGTTTACATCTCCTGATATTTGTCAGTAATATTTCCCTCTCCCCATGGATATTAGAAAGAATATCATGGGGAAGGAGTATATTCCCTGTTATATTGGGAGTAGTATCATCCTCTTTTGTCCTGGATATTAGAAATAATATCACAGAAGGGACGTACACCCCCAGTGATATGGGCAGTAATGTCATCCTTTCCTTCCCTGGATATCAGGAACAATATCACAGGGCGGGTATACAGCCCTGGCCACGTTGGGAATAACGTCACCTCTCATCCCCTAGATGTTAGGAATAAAGGAGGGTTGTGCGCTTTCTGTGATGTTTGGAGTCATATCCTCTCCATTTTTGGATATTAGAAACAATATTACCGTGGTGGTGTACATTTCCTGTGATATTGAGAATATAATCATCCTCTCTTCCCCGGATATTAGGAACTATTTCACAGAAGCGTTGTACACCGCCTGTGATATTGGAACAATATCATAGGGGCGTGTAAACTCAATGCAATATTGTGAGTAATATTATCCTCTCCCACCTAAGTATTAGAAACAATATCACAAGGGGTGAAACATCCCTTGTGATGTACATCCCTGGATATTAGGGCCGCTATCACGGTGGGGGGTGTGGCTGTACACCTTCTAGGATATTGGGAGTAACATCATCCTCTTTCCCCTTGTGTATTAAGAACGATATCAGAGGGCGATGGACACGGCTGCTTTACTGGGAGTAATATTCTTCCTCCCCCCCACCCCCGATATTAGGAACAGTATCATAGAGGTGGTGTACACCCCCTGCGATGTGAAGAGTAATATACCCCTCTGCCCCTTTAGCTGTTAGGAACAACATTAAAGACAGTGTGTACATCACCAGCGATACTGGGTGGAATATTATCCTCTACCCCCTGATACCAGGGAAAATAGCCCAGCATTGGTGTACAATTCATACAATATTGGGAGTAATATTCTCTCCCTCCCCACATTAGAAACAACACCACAGGGGGCTGTGATATTGGGAGCAATATAATCCTCTCCCTTCCTGGATATTAGAAAAAAAATCTCAGGGGGGCATACACTTTCTGTGATACTGGAAGTCATATCATCTTCTCTTCCTCTGGATCTTAGAAACACTATCATAGTGGGGGTGTACATCTCCTGTGATATTGGGAGTAATATCCTCTTCGCCACCCTTGCCCCGGACATTAGGAACAATCACAAGGGTGGGGTTAACATCCCTGCGATATCAGGAGTAATATTATCCTCTTCCCACGTGGATATTAGGAATCATATCCCAGAATGGGTGTACACCCCCTGTGACATTGGGTGTAATATTATCATCTTCCCCCCTGGTTATTAGGAACAGTTATCACAGAAGGGTGTACACCTTCTGCAATTTGGGGAGTCATATTGTCTTCTTCCCTCCTGGAAATTAAAAACGATATCCCAATGGGGATGTATACACCCTGCGATATTAGGAGTAATATCAGCCTATCTCAGTCCATCACAGTGGCTCACACCTGTAATCCCAACACTTTGGGAGGCCGAGGCAAGTGATCACTTGAGGTCGGGAGTTTGAGACCAGCCTGACCAATGTGGAGAAACCCTGTCTCTATAAAAAATTAACCAGGTATGGTGGTGGTGCATGCCTATAATCCCAGCTACTTAGGAGGGTGAGGTGGAAGAATCACTTGAACACAGGAGGCAGCAGTTGCAGTAAGCTGAGATCACACCACTGCTGCGCTCCAGCCTGGTGACAGAGCAAGATTCTGTCTCAAAGAAGGTGGTGGGGTGGGGGGTGGATATTTATGAATAGTTTCCAAACTTTGGAGGGATCAAGAAGGGAGAGGAAAAACAAAGGCTTCCACTCACCTTTGTTCACAAAATTGTGGTTTACCAAATCATTATAGATGCCTTCTAAGAAATACATTTCTTAAATCTAGAAAACAAAAGACGTAAAGGGCCGGGCATGGGGCTCACACCTGTAATCCCAGTACTTTGGGAGTCCCAGGCAGGGGAAGGGAGGCGGGATGGGGAGGGGAAGAAGGGGCTAGGATCACCTGAAATCAGAAGTTTGCTACCAGTCTGACCAACATAGTGAAACCCCATCTCTACTAAAAATATAAAAATTAGCTGGGCATAGTGGCACGTGCCTGAAGTCCCAGCTACTCGGGAGGCTGAAGCAGGAGAATTGCTTGAACTCAGGAGGCGGAGGTTGCCGGGAGCCAAGATTGCACCATTGCATTCCAGCCTGGGCGACAGAGTGGGACTGTTTCAAAAAAAAAAAAAAAAGAAAAAAATTTAATAAATCAAAAATGTTTTCAATACAAGTTATAAAAACATTATCTTAATAGACTTTGTTTTGCTCGATCTTGCTTATCAGTTTTTTGAACCCTTAGGTTTCCTTATTAGAGTTCTAGAAATTGGTTTTCAGTTCATTGATTTTTATTTTTATTTTTATTTTTGAGACTGCATCTCACTCTGTCACCCAGACTGGAGAGCAGTGGCACAATTTTGGCTCACTGCAATCTCCACCTCCTAGATTCAAGCTTTGTCATGCCTCAGCCTCCTGAGTAGCTGGGATTACAGACATCAACCACCACACCTGGCTAATTTTTGTATTTTTAGTAGACACGGGGTTTCACCATGACGACCAGGCTGGTCTCAAACTCTTGACCACAAGTGATTCACCTGCCTTGGCCTCCCAAAGTTCTGGGATTACAGGCGTGAGACACTGCACCCAGCCCATTGATTTTTAAAAATGTATTTATTTGTAATGTATTGAGGGAGTATAAGTGTGAGTTTCACACATGCCTGTGTCACATAGTGGTGAAGCCTGAGTAGTACATTGATGTGACTTATCAGAAACCTGTGTGCAAGAGGGCTCCTTAGAGTTTTTTCCATAAATGGCAAATGTGTGGGCAGGGCTCGGTGGCTCATGGCTGTAATCCCAGCACTTTGGGAGGCTGAGGCTTGTGGATCATGAGGTCAGGAGCTCAAGACCAGCCTGGCCAACATGTTGAAACCCCGTCTATACTGTCACCAATTAGCTGGGTGGGGTGGCAGGCACCTGTAGTCCCAGCTACTTTGGAGGCTGAGGTGGAAGAATGGCTTGAGCCCAGGATGCAGAGGTTGCAGTAGAGTAGGTGCCCAGCCTAGGTGACAGAATGAGACTCTGTCTCAAAAAAAAAAGAAAATTTGGA